GTATTCGGGTAGTTAGTAAGTATTTAGTGCGATTCTAAGAACTGAATACTTCAATACATAATATTTGCCACCCTTTGTTATAAAACTAAATTTTAAAACTCATTTAAGATTATTATTTTTAACGATTTTGAAATTGTCTTTTACAGATTTCGTGCCGTGGGGGGGGGGGGGTTACTAATTTTTAATTAGCCATCTTTGGGCAGTCGGCCACACGAATTTGTTTCATAAGTTTTGTATTTAAAAATATATTTTACACAAAACTTTTTTTATGAAAATAACTATTATTTACAATTGGCATTTGCAAGATTTAAAAAGTAAAATCGAATTTTGCTTAGCCAGCACTTTGAGGTAATGGTGGTGTAGTGGGGACGAAGTACAGTGAGGTCAGTGTACTTACAATCTTGTGACTATATGATTGTACTATTGTAGGAATTGTTATATCTGCGAATGATAAATTCGCTCTCAAACAAAACGCTTCGGTGGGAATTTATAGATGATAAAAATATTAAATGTGTATCGACAAAAATATTGTAAAAGTTATAATGTGCTCGAGTTTTAATTATTAAGGTATAACGGTGGTGGTAGTTAGTTTGACTATTTGTTGCCATTGTTATCCATATATCGTTATTAACAATATGATGAAAATATATTTCCAATAGCTGTTGACCACTTATTCATTAACACGGTAATCTGGAAATTGTATACGGTAAAAGTGTAAATTTTCTTTTTTTTGGGGCGTTTCCTTAGTAAAAAAAAAAATGTTTACACACATATTTTAAACAAACCATCGTAGACGTTCAGACCTTAAGTCCATAAAGTTCAAAAAGTTATATAATGAGTCTTTTTTTTGCTTAACGTTTTTATCGATTTTGAAATGGAAAACGTGATTGATTTTTAAACATTTTGATCTAATTATGTGCCATACAGGTACGGTTTTAGATCTATAGACTTGCTTCGTGGAGAAATCGGTATGAATCGTTTGGAACGCGGTTAATACTACTATAATATTGTCGATAAACGACTTGTTGGTGGTTACATTATCAATGGAAACCGACGGTAATCTGTTGGTTTACTGCGCTAATACCGTGGCGGCGATGGGTAAAAATAGTATAGTAACACTGAATAGCAACTCGTTCGGGGTCAGCTGGAAGTGACATAAAAGGGATTTTCGTTTAATGAATCATATTCGGATGCTGTGGCTACTACCTGCGCTACGGTGCCCCGTTACCGATCGGCATAAGGTGTGTAAGACTCGATGGCGAGACGAGGACGACAGGTCAAATGAAAAGGATATAAACGTGGCCGACCCCGGTCGTAAACTAAGTTGCAAGCCGGTAATGGTTGGTCGACCATAGCGGCAAGGGTAGTTTTGATTTTAAGGCCAAATATGACACGGCCAATGTGTAAGGGATAATTTGTTACCGCGGCGAATTTGCCACAAAACTAACCTTACCGATGTGCCCACATTGCCAGTCTCTTCGACTCACCTGACAAAAGGGATAAGACAAAAAAAAAATAAGGGTTTTAGTCAATTGCCATTGTACTCATTATATAAACGTATAATTTAGGTTTGAACGTACACTTTGTCTGCGCGTGAATCTTCTAGAATGGTCCAAAAAATACAATATTCCTGTATTAAATAAAAACCTTAACCTACAATAAAAATGTACTTAAAGTTAAAAAATTACTTTTTACATATATATATATATATATTTATTCGCAACTACGTCTATGTTCTATTCGGCTACACATTGTTATTGAATTTAATAACCCTAAAGTAAATAAAGCCTAGTATGTAACCTGGGGAAATAAGATTGAAGTACATATTTGAACGATTCAGAATATTTGTTTAGTACACACAGAACAATAAATAATAGTAACAATGATAAAACTTACGGGTTGATTACTCATCTGATCAAATCATATTCTTGTTTGTATTTTAGTTGACCATTTCAAGGAGATTATAATTTTATTTTCATACGTTTTTAATTGTATTTAAAAATGTTGAGACAGACAAGATTGTAAACAAATTAACCGTATTTGTATATCTATAAACTATTTAATAATAAAAATAGTAGTTAGGTATAATATAAGCTCCGTCTTAGAACCGAGAAGGTCGATAGTAGTGACGATATTTCTTGACTCACTAGACCAAAACATACAGTACAGTATAGTTTGATAAGAAATTAAAATCGGTTAGTCGTTAGATGGTAAAAAATGTCTTCCTCCCTACACCCCTATGAAATTGGATAAAACTAAGTTGAAACTTTTATTTTTATTACAAAATTAGCAAAAACAGTAGTTATTACTTGTTTTACGTTTTGCTCCGTGAAAATCATTTGGTCAAACATTTAAAAAATACTTTTTGAATTAAAATCAATATTCTACAATATCCAATCATGTTTGTTTATACAATATACTCAAAGCAAAAGGAAGTTTACATACTTTTTGTTTATTTATATTAATATACTATTTTATACTGTGTTTACGTTGAATAATATATTGCATTTACTGTTTATTGTTTCTAATTGCAAACTAAAATATAATCTCTAATTAAAATATGAAATTAACTATTTGTTTTGGTAATGTATTTTGAAATGATACACAGAATGACATTATATTTGTCAAGTAATCACTAAAAAACACTAAAAGGTTTAATTAAAAACAATAAATATACAAAAGAGAGATCATTTTTATTGTTATATATAAACAAAATGAGTAATCACAACATTGTTAGAATAATAACCTTAATATGTATTTATTTACATTTTACACATTTTGTATCAATATTATAATGACAATGTTATCAATTGTTGGAGGATAAAACAATAGTTTTTAAATTGAATGGGTTCAACTCTTTTACGTTCACTATATAAATATTATAATTTATTTAGTGATTATATATTATATCTCTAACAGTATAATGGTTAACCACAACCGAGGAATTACAACTACCATCAACAGGAACAAGTAGTAATAATAAATACCAAACCCTTAAACACATATGTAGGTATTGCTGACAACTTAACAATAACACATTTTTTTTTAAATTGTACACAAAAAAGAGTACGCAAATAGCATTATACAATGGGCTACATTATATGTTTCTTTATCTAGCCTATACATATTGTATTTTGTGGCTAATGGTACGCCATGGATGTAAAATATAGCTTAAAAGATTTGTCAATTAATCGGTAAATGAAACAAGCTAGGAGATTTACTCAAAACCAAGACAAAGAAAAAAACAATTTTAAGATTTTTAATATTATAAAATAATTTTGAAAACATACCTACAAATAATGGTAATAAGAGTAGGTATCGGGAAATTTATAATTCATGCTACATATTGCAGCCCAAAGGTTATCAAAGAAACTTTTCATCATTTCTATCCAGAGCTTGCATTAAATACTAGAGATTTATCCAATACCTTTAGGTGTACTTAAAACAAGTTTATTGGTGCGAAAAAATGTAAAGAATATGTATATAATATGTAAATTTCAGACTAGAATATTTGATAAAATTTCCATACAAACAACTGAGCAGTTTTCTATGTAATAGCTCGACCCACGAGCATATTATATTTATACAACAAGTAATTCATGTATTCATCAATCTTCATAGACATGGTTTAAAATTATTAAACCGATAACGTTAAACAATTCTCGTGTTATTGTAAACGTTTAATCGATAATCAATTATTAATATACTTCAGATCTCAGTCATATACATTTGATCTGGGTTCGTTAACAATTTAATAATTAAAACTGATTTTAATCTATCTCAATACACTTATGACAGTGTAAGAATAAACCAATAAAAATGACTTAATGTCTCAAGCATTTGGATAAACCCCTGTGACAATTGATTTACAAGAAAAAAATGTCATTACCGGCAATATGTGTTGTAGGAAATAAATAATTTGGTAATTTTTAACAATAAATATATATATAAATGTATAGGTCACTAAATCAGATTAAACCATTTCTACATGTTGATATACTAATTTCCCTACTGGAAAGGTTTTAATTATTTAGTTTTGATTATATAACTAGTTACTAAAATAATCCTAATTAAATAAATTTGATAAATGGCGCGACGGAGGTTACTATTTTATTTTGAGAAGAGATTAACACATTGTCAATTTGATTATATGTCTTTAATTAGTTCAGAAATCTAGTCGAGATCAAGCTAAAAAATAATACCTAAAAGGTTCAATAAAAATCAATATAGGTACACTGTAATTATTATTATTTAGGTTTTAACCATAAACTGTACTCAATTTGTTTATTTAACATTATATCATAAGTTAAAACTATTTGAAATGCCAAATATGACATATTATATTAGCCAAAAATTATTGAACATGTATTTATAATATATATATATTTTATATATATTAAAAACTTTCTATATAAAATAGAAAATACCTAATCGATAAATTTTATTTTAGAACACATTTTTTTGGGAAAATCGTATATTATAACAACAAAATATAATTACATTAGCTTGTGAACACGTTACTTGTACACTCCGGCATTTGATATGATTCAATTAATTAATTTTCAATAAACTAAATATTCTTTTGTAAAACAATATTTAAGTGTGTGGGTGGCTTTTGAGAATAAGTTTATCAAAAAATAACATGAACAACGAAAGAAGCATACTAATTATCACTAATTTCGGGATTTTTTTTAGTCGTTATATCATATACAAGTTTAAAAATTACATTATCTTATACCAACATAATTAATTTAATTTTTTTTTTTTTTTGCTATTTCGGAACGCAGTTTTATTAGCCATTAAGTTTAGGTTATTTGTATAATTTAAAACTCATTAAGTGTATATAATAATACCACATGTCTATGTTGGACAAATAATGTTGACTAACGAAACCAATATATTATATAGCTTAGTTGTTAGTTTTTTTTAACTCCTTTTATTATCCAATGTTAGTAAAAAAAATGTACGATAAATAAAACACAATATATACCATCATCGACAATATCGCTTATAAATTATAATAATTATTATTGTGCTAATTTTTTTTGGACAAAATGTAAAATGAATACTTTGAATGATTGATATTTCGGCACGGATTTGTATCACAAGTGAATTTTCCTCCGTCGTTTCTTCATTATACCGTATAACCTTCTGACGGAGATTTAAATGTTAAACATGTCATGTTGATTGACAGTGGCGTACGTGACTGTGGCTGGAGCCAACACCATCGATGCTCCCATGTACTATAACAGAATGTAGAAAATAAAAATTTAATTATAATAATTTCATAATTATTACAAAATGAGTAATTCAGTTTGTGTAAAAATTACAAATTCAATTTAAAGAAAATCGCGTTTTAAACCCTTTGGTGTGGAATTACTCCTATTTTTTTTTTTTTTTTAAGGTTGACAGAAGATTGCATAATTGTGTTTAAATTGTATAATATGCAATTAGAATGAATTGTTTTCCTTAAAAAAAACTATGTTTCTAGTCACTAACATTGCAATTGCTTTGATGGATTTTATGCAAGAGTGTTGTGTTGAATTTGTTATTAACTTAGAATTTCATCAACACGGCGATGAATGTTTTTTTTTTTTAATAATGCAGTATAAAATTTCAATTGAAATATTATTCTACCACAATCACAACGCACGTTGTGACTTAAGTATGATTTAGCGTACATAACAAAATATATTATTTTGTATTACTTGATCGAAATCCCAAATGTTGCTTACAAATATAATTTCTATAGAGACCCCTGAATTACGTTTTAATATTTTCTCAAGTTTTTTTAAATATTAAAAATATAATGAACGGATGTATTTACTGGCGTTTGAGAGTCTATAATTGTATTTTTGATTGATTTTCTTTGTACAATACCGAAGCGTTTATAGAAAAAAAAAAAATAAGAAATGAAGCTATTAAATATTATATTAACAATATAAACGTAAAACGCGACAATTTGATTTCCATTCGACAATATTGCCGAACGGAATCAATGCAACTGTGATTTTGTCGTTTTAAACAAACCATATTATGCTCCAGGGGAAAATCATTTCGTCACTAAACATATATATATATTTTTGTTATTGCCATTATGTATTCATTCTGAACGCTATAAAAATTTCAACGGAATAAAAAGGGTATGCAGGTAAATTGCATAATAGTGTTGTGAACAGCATAGAATTTATAGTTTAAAAACATGGACCTGTACCTAGCATAGTTCAAGGCGTTCAAGTTTAGTCGGGATAGCTGTTGTTGTATGCCAGAAAAGCGGTAAAAGGGATGTCCTGGTGAAACGCTGCTTATTCAGCAGCGGAAATGGCAGCTGCCAGAAATAGGCTAGGTGAGCCGGGAAATTTGCTGCCAGACGGTGGAAACACGAGAACAAGATTAAGATAATGAACTGTATTATATTCGCCCCGTGTGTATGAACTGTTGTATCGGTATTGTTCATTGCGCGTTTAGTACAAACTGTGAAACACGTGTATAGTAACCGACAAGTATGGCCGAAGATCTTATTTTATCGTCTTTCGTCACATAACGACGTGTACGGCTGTTGTTTTTATGAATTCGTACGGAAAAAGGCTGTTTCCCCATTAAAAGTAATCAATGTTGCACTTTCCCTCTCTTGCTAACTTTTAAACTCGTATAACTCGTTTAAATATTGTCGTTCAAAACTGGTTATCAGCTTATGAAATATTCTTAATTAAAAAAGATAATAGAATATATTATACGTTACCATTTAAGTTTCAAAAGTTGATATGAAAATAACAGCTATATAGTTTGGTAGGGGGGTGAAAACAAATGTGAAAAATTGAGATCATATTGTATAAAAACACTAAAACGATCACCCTGTATAGCTGTATAATTAATACAATAATATAAAAATACAAACCCAGCTAAAAAAGAAAAAAACTGGCACAATCGTTTATTACAATTTTTTTTTTTATAAAAATAATTATTACATTTACAGCGCAGTAACGTGATGTGGTATAATTATTATTATATTGTAACACGGCGCGTTGTATAGACAATTCTACTACATGGCTGTGTACTATGTTGCATTGTTTCCAAGTGATTTCGATTTTTTTAACGTTGCATTGTAAACCCGTCGTGTCGGTTTATCGTTTAATCATTTCCCCGTAGTATCGACCGCACAAAGCATTATCATGTTCACATGGAACTCGACGGAAAATCAAAATCAAACGTTGAAATAAAATCATTATTATTATTATTGATACTAAGCACAAAATATACTTGGTTGACCTTACTCAGAATGAACGATACTATTAGGTTATACACAGCGATACTGTTCTAAAACTATTATGTTTACTAGTATGTCAAATTAATAAAAATTGTTTTAATTGCCACAAAGACAACCCCGCTGTTTGAATATAAATGGTAAAATATAATACGGACATGCACTTATATCCTACCACGTCCTTTGCGTAGGTAATAAAAGCACGTACAAATACATTGGTTTTTTTTTTATTACAGCCTCTTTGTATTTATTTTTTATTTTTTCATGCATACAAGATCACTCGTTGCAAATGTCATGTGTATAAATTGAAAATCTGATCTTGATTAGTAGTATACAGTATACTATATAAAAATATATACACTTTTAAGAACATGTACACAGATATACATAACATTTTGTTCCGCCGTTGTTACAAATTATTAAAAAATTACAACTGATGATGACATAATATTATCAAATAACGCAATTTCTATACATTATTTATATAATAATTATAATACAGTGTGTTTGTGTTAGTCCTAAGAAGTTGCTGCGACGACTTTAAATTTGCAAATCCTTTGAAAAGTCTGAAATAACTGTTGTAAAGCCAATTGTAATATGTTCACTGTTGTGTTTATGTATAAACGGATTGGAATAATTTTCGACACGCAGTAATTTTAGCGATTCCGGCTAAAACGACCACGTTTTATTTTGATTGTGTTTTTGAAATTATCCTCTTAGTATGCATTGTGTCGCAAATTGGCCCACATATGGCATTGCAATACCGTAGTACAATATTACATATCGCAGTGTTTCGCTTTTTGGCAACAACAATCAACTTGGAACGTCAACCGAACAACACACACGGCGACCTGTCACCAAAGCGGCAGTTTTTGTTTGTTCATATCTTCTGATTCGAAAGCCTGAACATATTATAATATCAACATAGGTCATCGAATAAGCCATTTCTTATACACACACACACACAAAACAAAGAAAGCAAAAGTTGATGACTTAAAACAAAACGGGGAAACGGTGGTCAATTAGGAGATTATTGTATACATTCAATTGTAACCACCGGGAATACTGTCAAGGGATTGTTTTTTAACCTATATTATATCTACCTACAGTGTTCTTATAAGTATTCCCTACATTATTGGGTATCCATAACAATACTTCGTGGAAAATAAGTGACTGCTCGGTATTACAAGTATTTCAAGTATTTTGCTGAAAATTAATCATAATCGAAAACTTTGTTTCTACATTTTTAAGTCTGCGGTGAGACGCGCCAATATTGGCCTTTAGAGTGTAAAATAATAACTCAAATCAAGTACAGCGAAATTGTGCTCGTTTATAGTGTATTTTGATCGAATATGAAGTTTTGATACATTCTCCAATTTCCACGTAAACATATTGTTATTATAAAAAAAAAGACAAATCCATAAAACTACCTATTAATTTTGGCCTTGGTCGTTTTTTGGGGTTTACTTATTTGAAAACTTGTAAAAAACGACAGAATAAATTCACAGAACTATAAACAACTGTGACGTTTTTACATTGCAAACAAGAGCGGTCATTTAATGAGGGACTTTTTTTTATTTTTTTTATTGAAAATTAGACAAACTATTTATTTCTACAATTATAAAGCCGGGTTCACACGACTCGTCTATTCGCCGAATGTATAGCGAATACCGAATATTCGCCTATTCGTGCAAGTATACGAATATACCATTCCCACGACTCGTCTATTTGCCGAATGTATAGTGAGTACATTTGGTATCCCTTTGACTCGTGTCGCATTTACCGACAATCCGCGGGAAGAGGACGAATACCGAATACCAAATAACGAATACACGAATACACCGTTCCCACGACATGGCGAATATACACGAATACCGAATATTCGGCGAATAGACGAGTCGTGTGAACCCGGCTTAAGAAATGAGGGACTTGTATTTATATAATTCGTTTGCAAAAGTGTTTTTTATGGATTTATTATTAACCGTATATTTTTGGAGAAATTGCGTTGTGGGTTGACTTTTTACTATAACGTCATGCAAACTGTGTTTTAAATAATTAATCCAATGTAAATGTATTCTTTGAAATCGAATCAAACGAAATTTCGGTATTTGTCAAAATTGTTTTTGCAGAAAAAACTCATTACAATAATTTGTTCGGTTATTTTTTGTACATCTAAACGGATGTATATCAAACAATAACACCTTAGGGGTGTTTTTTTTTTAAAGCCAGTGATATGCGCTATAAATCATACAACATATCGTATTCCTGTCGAATGTATCTATACAAAAGGGTAAATAAGCGACATTGTGCGGTTACTGTAAAAATAATATGAAACATCCAATACAACCGCGATCGTAAAACGCATTTCCATTCAGATAATAAAAACGTACCTAAGTTGATAGGAAATGAATAAAAAAAAAAAGGGATGTACCCGATTATTTTGAAAATGGCGAGTAGACTTTGACTGTTTTCATTAAAAATTTGTCGTGAAAAAATATTGCTTAATATATCTAAGCTCCCCGGAGACAATGTTTTTTTTATTATTATTACTGTTATTCATTTTTAGTAGCCAATGAAAAACCTACAACTTCCGTGACGATAAAAACAGACACCAACCCGGTTTTTGAGCTTGCAAAATAAAATAGCACAAGTTATTTTATTCTCGTAAAAGTCCTTCGTCCTTAACTTTCAACGACAAAAACAATCGCACTTGAAAAACTTCGAATAGTGTTATAAATTATGTTTGTAAATGCAATAATGATATGCCTTTCCGAAACCTTTGACTTAGGCCTTAGGGTTCGTAATCGGTGTTTCAATAATAAAATATGTGCAATAATTATTATGACTTACAGATTATAATTGATAGGGTTAAATGAACGAACGAGGCAAATGTAAACTGTATGTTTTGAATAAAGTAATTGACAATTAAAATACTCAATACTTTTTATTATAATAAGATGTTACATACTACACAGTTAA